ACTGCATAGTCCTTTTTTTTCTATTTTATGCAATGTTAACAGAAATTATGCAAAATAGTATAATTCTGTAAAAAAAGGTGTTAATGAGATGTTTTATAAAATGCAATTGTCTATTTTTATGCGGTCGATCTATTTCCGTCTCAAAAATGGTTTCATCTTCAACATATTCATATGTTTTTATAGTAAAAATAGTGATTAAAAAAATGTAAATTGTAGCAAAAATGTAGTTTCGAAAAATAAATTGATCCAGGGTCGCAACGAATTTAAAAAATCCTATTAAACTATTTATATATATTGTCTATCGAGCAAGTCACAAAGTGATTTAGGACATAACAATACACGTAACGTGTAAAAAAAAGTATTTGTCAAAATATGTCACAAAATTCTTTTGTATAACTATTTTTATGCATTTTTACGATAATGAAAACAAAAAAAAATTAATATTGGCAATGTTACATCATATAATGGTATCATTGTGAAGTGTAATATTTGTGTAATATAAATAACTCAATAGCGATATTGAGATTGCACGGGCTTGAGTAATGCCATGTCGATATCATGCGATATGACATGCAATTATGAAGACAAAAGTGGCAATATTACATTGATATATTACTATCATTGTAAAATATAATATTCGTGTAAGTTTGAAGATACTGATATAGTACGTATTTTGAGGAACATCACGTCAATAGAATGGTGTGATATATGATTAAATGCGATAACGATTATGAAGATAGATATGACAATGTTACATTACATAATGTTATCATTTTTAAAAGTAATATTCGTGTAATTGAAATAATTAGATACGGAAGTCGCACTTGTTATTAGTTACGCCACGTCGACGGAATAATGTGAAATGTTGCTAAATGCGACTATGCAATTATGAAGGCGCAGGCGGCAATATTACATTATATAATGCTATTATTGTGAAATGTAATATTGGTGTAATTGTAATAATATATTCGATATCTAGATGACACAAATTATGAAGACGAATATGACAATATTACATTACAAAATGGTATCATTGTGAAATGTAATATTCGTGTAATTTGATATAATTAATATCTGAATGATGTCATATCTGAATTGGGCAAGATTTGAATAACTATATTGAAGTATAGAGTCTGTATAAAGGCCGCGACGTAGTCGGGTAGACACTGTAGATGAGGATGTTGGAGGTTTCGGTGTTTGCCTACGGCGGTAATATGGTTGGCTTGATCCCTACTATACTATTAGTATTATTATCAATGAACCAAACATGTATACGTTATAGTATTAATAGAATTATACACATTTATATTGGCAATTGTTCTTATTAAATATACAAAAATGTTGCATTGTTGGTAGATAGGATGAGATATGTAACTCTTAGCTATGCTGGGAGGCTGTTACTTGTTTCTTTATCGAGGATGACCTTTAACGATTATAAGACCCTTCCGTATCATTGTTTCTATCCGTCTTCTATCAAGTCGAAGAGATTGCGATACTGGGGTCGATTCTGAGGCGTCTTTTAAATGTATTTCAAAAATTAAAATTTCAACATATCACAGTGAAATCTTTAGGACAAATATGAATTAAATTTATAATAGATTTAAGTCAAAATTAATATAAATTTAGTTTATAATGGTCCTCTAATGGGAAACTATCAAATTGAAATATTAGGTTAAGAGGTAGGTTTAAAAAAATAACGCATCTGAATCGACCCCACTGTCCTTTTTTATTAGTAAGGTCTTTTAAGCTGCAATTCTCGAAACATAGTTTGGATTTAAACGATTTTGTAAGTACTGTTTATAAAACATATTGATTCAGAATCATAGATATAATATTGCATTCTGACCGTCGTATGCTATTTATCAAAGCTATTCTAGTATTTGTGTGGATATTTCTACATTAAAACCGTCCTTCAATAGTTTTTCTTTGAGATTATCTTTTGAATAGTATGGATAGCTTTTCATAAGTTTTTGATGTATTTATATATATAATTTTTTTTTAAATGGGAACGACAAATACAAATACTACACTCCTGACGCTTATACTTTTGCTGCCAAAAAAAAATCTATTGTATTTCTTAAAATAAATAAAACAGAAACTTATGAGAGATATTCCATGTTGTTATGAATTTGGGTCCATATACTGCATTTCCTGTTTAACTATAAATCTAGGGTATTTTTACATGTCATAATTATATAAAAAAAAAATATAAAAAAAGTAGATGAAAATGTCGAATCTGTGTTAAATGTGGCTATGATTAGGAGGGATTCGGGGACGTTGAGTTTAAAAAAATATCCTGCATTTGAAATTCGATAATATATAAAATTTAGTCTTAAATTATTCCACACGTGCCACGCTGTGTTTTACACAACATTGTGTTAGAAAAAGTGTGTTTATTAGAAAATTGCGTTATTCAAAAAGAATCATTTCGATTATAATTTTAATAAAAAAAAATTATTAAACAAAGTTATTAAAATGTTAGTTAATATTGAAGGGAACAATAAAAAAAATTTCGTTCATTCATAATGTATATCAATTGATAGAATTAAAAGATTACAAACAATTAGTGCTTAATACAGCGATTTTCATGCAATGCATGAATTCTCTGGCTATACACATCGCATTAGTTCTGGCAACCCAGATTAAAAATGGAGTAGCAAAAAGAATTAAAATTTAAATGCTCCAAGCCAGAAGAAGAATAATAAAAAAAAAATCTGGACGTCAATACTACACAGATTATATGTGACATAGATAATACTTTTTTTAAGCCATCGTTTACGAATTCCCGCCAAAAAAAATTTAATTAAGCAACAAAACGAATTATTAATAAAAATTAATGATAATTATTGTCGACTTTCGATGTAAGATTTAGTTATTTAAGATATTGTGACTAATTAAAATAATTTACGTATATACACGTTTCTCATTACTGTTTTGATTTCTTCAAAATACGTTTATGTGAAATGTTGTATTTTTTTTATATCTATCTATCTATATATATATAATTCGGTGCTAATTTGCGTCAGTCTAAGTACACAATTCTATGACAGTTTTATCATACTATATTATAATTATAATTAAGTTAAAAAAAAGATCATGTTTATTCAATTAATATCAACATGATGTTTAAACTAAATAAACCCTATGAAATTTGACCAATTTTATTCCCTTGCATTTTAAAATTGCCTTTATTTTGTAAAGTCAATTGGTATTGAAAGTTTAAAGTTATGAAATTATATATGTATATGAAAAAAGATTGGATTTTTATATAGTTTATTGGAAACGGTATTTTATATTAAGACTTGAAAAGTTTTTTCTCCTGGGATGTGACTATTATAAGTAGGTAAAAATAATTAGTTTTTAAGGTGAATTTTTGAAATTTCAGTATTGTGCTGCAGATGCACAAACATCCAATGCTTGCCAGCGGCTGCGATAAGGATACTGTATCTGACATTTTCTCTTTATTCACTAATAAACATTTCTTATTAATTCTTTATAACAATATTTAATTACATTGTATACGGTGTAATTAGTTTCATTTGTAATATTCGTAATATTAAAAATGGAATTGTCAAGTCAGATACCTTGTTCTGTCGATGCGCCGTTGTTTACTTAAATTAACGTTTTGAATTCATGACAATGTTATATGTTGATGCATGTTCACTGTACTTGTATACAAAATATATGTGAGAAAAGAATCCGTTTTGTTATTTAAAAATTGTGGAAAATTGTCTTTGAATTTTGTTTTTTTTTTTAAGAATTTATTATAATTGAGTGGTGACAATACGAATGTAAAGTTACGCCAATAAATTTAATAGGTTGCTTCTTAGTTCAATTTTAATACTTACTCTTGTTTAAGACCATTTATACCCATAGTTTATTTTAAAAGAACTTAATAAACAAGAAATCTTTTTTTATACAACTTAGAATAGCAAACAAGCTGACGGCTCACCTGATGGAAAGTGGTAACAGTCGCCTATAGACGTGGGACACTTATTGAAATTGTTACAAATCTCTAAATGAAATTAGAAACAAATGGAAACATTTAAATGATTAAATTATTTTTTATTTCTACTGCTTCTACTATAGTTAGAATTAAACAGACTGTCTTATGGTCGGGTCAGTTATTTATTGTCATTTTTAAATTCTATTGAAATATATTGTAACTCTTCTAAGTAATTAATATAAGATGGAAAACACAAAAACTTATTTATTTATTAAAATTATTGGCATTATTTGTTATTTATGTATCCACAGTGTACATACAGATTGTACTATGAAGTTATGAAATTGTTTTTTTTTCGCGCCACTATTTTTTTTTTTTTATTCTCAATCAAAGACAATTTTTCACGTCCCACCTTTGCGAAAATGCAACACAGACGGTCGTTAATAATCATCTATCTGTCATCATTATAATATACTTTTTAATTCTTATTTTACATCGTAGAATTACAGCTGTTTTGTTTTTTATTTGTCTGTGCTGCCATTTTGGCGACGGTGACTTCTAGGGTTATCTAGATTGTTCTTATTATATTTTGTTTATTTTTTTTTTCTTTATCTAACGACCGTCCTCTTTTGTCTAATGTGTTGCATTTTCTTTCTTTCCCGATCGCTCCGCTGGGTGCTGCTGTCGTCGACACAAAACTCACAATACAAATCGGCACATCAATCTAAAACACATGTCAAACTTTAAAAAAAATTTTACTCTATACTAAAAATCGTTACTTTGTACTCAATTCAAACTTTTTTTTAACATTACACAAACTATTGTGTACTTATTACATCATGAATATTACATTTAAATTTGGCATATCATTGTAAAACATTAATACTAATAATGTATTACATTTTTTTTTTAATTCCAATGAATTATGCAAATACTCTGATCAATGATACAATATTACACAACAAAATGAACGAGCACACAACAATATCAACAAATTACACAACATAATAAATTATTACATTACAAAACGTAAACGTCGGCGACAAAACAACAGCTACTTCGGCTCGGCTACTCCCGCGCCGACAGAGAACACGCTCATGAGCACCGACCTCTCGTTCGAAATGAGTTCCTTCTACGCTGAAGACTTCGATAACTTCGTATACGAGGGTATGAATTAAGTAAGTATATATTTATTTTACACTTTGCAGTTAGGCTTTTAGAGATATTTTAATAGGGACGCCGCCGCCCATCCCTCTACCATCAAGTTACCAGAGGGAGACTTTGTACAAAAGTCGATTGCTTGGGCACCTCTGTTCCATTCATGTTTCAACCGTGAAGCAGCTGTGTTTGCATGGCTGTGTTTCGGTTTGAAGGGTGGGATATGGCGTAAATTTACTGGGTACGGAGGAATAACACCTGAGTCCTCAGGAATGGCAACGCATGGGTGATATCACGGGCGAAACAGTATACTCTGTTATGTCCACGGTACTGCTCATGTCTATAGGCGACGGTTACCACTTTCCACCAGGTGGACCGTCAGCTTGTTTGCCATTCTAAGTAGCATAAAAAAAAGTTTTAGTCGCCTTGTACGACACCCACAAAGAAAGAGGGCGGTCTATCTGTGGTGAGATTACAAGGCAATAATAATAGTTTAGTGAAATTACAGATTTATGGGCTATATTATAAATTAAATTAATTATAATTTTGATTTATATCCATTAGTTCATATTAGTGCTTATAATAAAGATATTAAATTAAAATTTTATAAATATAGTACAATCTCGATTATCCGAACATCGGTTATCCGGATATTCGATTATCCGGACTTATTCTTCACGGCTCTAATTATTGATTTAGAAATGGTATTATGTATTAATTAGGTGAATAGGTATTGTTTAATACATTATTTTTACAGTTTATTATATTTTTTTTTTATATATCGTATTGTCTAAATGACGTAAATTATGTAAAAAGTTTTACATCATACGTAAAGCTTTTTACATAATAAAAAAAAAAAAAAACTAATTATGTATTGTTTGATTTGATTTTAAATCGATTATCCGGATTTTTGATTATACGGAATATCTTTGGTTTCATATGATTCGGATAATAGAAATTCTACTGTAGGTTTAGAGAAATGACGCCTCGGTAACCTACTACTTTGGCGTTCTATTGTCTCTGCCTACCCTAATGGCAGACAAGCGTGACAGATATGTATGTATGTAGGTAAACTACCCCACCATTGATTGCATCACAATCTAATTTTTTTTTTTAATTTTATTTTCAGGTTACACACATAAACTTACAATAAATGTAGATAATCCATTCGTTTTAGCTTTAAACGAAGTTTTGTAGTATGTATAATATTATTATTTACAAAAATAGGACAGCAATTTCCTACTTTTTTTTTACCATTTATTTTAAATTTCACTATAGGTTATGTATCTTTTTTTTTTAATAAATTTGGAGGTGTGATATGAGTTTTGCTTACAGAGAATAGAAAATGTGCAAAAGTAATTCTGTGCTTCGATTCAAACGAACCACTTTCGCTTCCTCCACATTCATCGATCTTTTCATACACGCTCGCTGGTTACGGGTACTTTTAATTTGGCCCTTCTTCAGCACGTCGCCTATTCGGTCGACATACGTCCGTCTAGGGCGGCCCCTACCGACATCTCCATTCATTTTTGCTAGATACATCTCTTTCGTAATTCTTTCATCCATTCTCTCCAAATGGCAAAACCAATATTCTCTTTTCGATTTTTGTCTCTCCATTGCCTTTCAGTCCACACGTCTCTCTAGTTATATTATTTCTCAAATAGGAAAAAAAAATACAGTAATCCATATATATTAAATGTCTGTTACTCAATATACAATACCGAAATGAGTATATAGTAGATATATCCGAACGGTATGAGCAATGATCTTTTTTCCATCATCAATATCTACAGAAATCCGATATATAGATATTGTATCTGTACTGATATTACCCACGCCCATTAAGTTATAAAATATACTTATTAATATGTATGTATTAATGCAAAACTCATCATCGCACCTTGTATTTTTTTTTATTATATCATTATGCTGATTGAATTCAAAATGGCCTATTATGAACATATGTATTGTGTAAAAATAGTTTTATATAAATGATAAATGTTAAGTTATAAATGATTTATCTTGTGTTCATTGCAACGTATTTTTTTTACAATCGATTCTTTCAATATATATATATATAAAATATAGTGAATATTTTACAGTGCCATACAAGAATACCATAAATTGACATTAAAGTGTGGACAGTTAGAAAAATATAAAAGAGTAATTAATAATTATAAACAAATAATGTTAAAACATGAAAAAAAGATTCAAATAGTTTTCAACAACTCTGGAATTTCATATATAGAGGTCTCTTTTTTACTGATATTTCAAAGTGAATTTATTCTTCAGACTTCAAAGTTTACACTTGCTTACGAAATAATAATCCTGTCCACTGCTGAACATCAAGTGGGAGACTTTGTACAAAAGTCGATTGCTTGGGCACCTCTGTCCCATTCGTGTTTCTACCGTGAAGCAGTTGTGTTTGCATGGCTGTGTTTCGGTTTGAAGAGTGGGATATGGTGTGAATTTACAGGGTACAGAGGAATAACATCCGAGTCCTCAGGAATGGCAACGCATGGGGGGTATCATGGGCGAAACAGTATACTCTGTTATGTCCATTGTACTGCTCATGTGTATAGGCGACGGTTATTACTTTCCATCAGGTGGGCCGTCAGCTTGTTTGCCATTCTAAGTTGCATTAAAAAAAAGTTAACTTTTCTAATATTTATTTTTTTTGCATTTTAATTAAAAAGAGAACTAAAGCCTATATTTTTGCAAGCAAGTGTACTCTAACTTTATTTCAAATAATCAGTACCTTTTCTTTTATTAATTACTAACTAAGCCGACAGATGTCGTTCTCTTAATATCTAATGCTTGACTTCGATATTCGATTGATGTGGCAGCTACGAACAGGCCCTCTAGATAGGTGGCAAGCGAATTCGTCGATGGAATCGGCATCGTTAGCGAGTCCGTGAGATAGAATGAGATAGCAACGCCGGGTGACTCATTCCAACTCACGGACTCGCTAGCGATGTCGATTCCATCGACGAATTCGCTTGCCACTTGTCTACAGGCCCAGTTTACATACGGGGAAAGAGAAATGAGATTTCAGAGTTTTTTTGAGCAATATTTCTTATAAAACTTTCATTTTAACTTCAAAGTATATTTGAAAAACAAAATGGCCGAATCGGTCCAGATGTTTACGAGTTCTACGCTTAAGAAAACGTTTATCGATTCATTTTTATTTTTTAGTTTTTGACTAATCATAATGAACATTAATGTTATTTTTTTATTTCTTTTAAATACATTAACAGTAAGTGTTAATATTGCTAAATGGATTTATGGATCTTTATATATAACATTTATATTTTTTTTTTGCACATCTAATTATAATCAGCGGAAACAATTCTATTAGATTAAGTGCATTTTTAGACGTAACAATTGTTTTTTCCTGAGTGTTCAAATATTTAAGGAAACAAAATTTGTATTTGGAACAGCATTTTATATTTTATTTTTTTTATATAGTGATTTATGGCTCTGGATACAAGTCCACGGAGCCCGCCATTTCTAGTTACGTGTGCTCATAAAATCCCGCCTAAAATACGGGAAGTGCCATTTCTTTTTAATTTTGTCAGCAATAAAATGTTCATAGATGTATTATGAAATATATTTAATATGCACTAACATGCACATGCTTCTACAAATTAAGTAATAATATTAGAAAGTTTAATATTCTTATAGTATTTAAAACATGGGGTTGTTAAAGATATGTGTTAATAAATGTTAGATTTATTAAATAACAAGGTGAATGTAATAGTTACAGATTTAATGATTGCTTAATTGGAATTTAATGAGCTCAGTATTTTTCCGATGAATTAAAAAAAATAAGGTATTTTTTTTTAAATAAAGTTACACAGAAGAAAATATATTTTCAATTTATTGAATAAAAAGAGAATTCGTATAACGGAACGTAACATTTTTACCTTGTAATGTAAAATCGTTAAAATAATGTTGTATGTAAAATTAAAAAATCTATTGTAATTTGTGATCTTTATATAGTATATATATAATCGTAATTTCTATACCAAGCTGTCAATTCAGTATAATTTCTTATGAAACTGAACAGTCTGCCCCAAGGAGTGTGTAGGTAATCGAAGTGTTTCAACCATTACGCTTTGTATGACTGGCCACGATCCAAGCGCTCCACTTAGGTAATCAATTAAAATTTGTTGTATTTTTATTACGAGATGGATTTGCTGATTTGATGAATGTGGAAGAAGCGAAACAGGTTTGTTTGAATCGAAGCATTTGGCGTTCCATTGTTTCTGCCTACCCTGATGGGAGACAGGCGTGACAGATATGTATGTATGTATGTATGGATTTGCTCTTGGTTTTACCTCAAACTGATGGCAAGTGATGATAAGGTCTAGGATGGAGCGCGCCCACCCAATTGGTGCTTGTTTACCATCGACTTGCAGAGTACTAGGTTGAATTTCGTCAGAAATACAAGCCAGGTATATTGCATTAGAAACGAAGTGGCGAATCCCTTCTTAATTACTTTTTTTTTAAATATTTTTAAATGTGACAAGTAATTCTCGACAATTTTTCAATATAATGACGTTTTAAATTTGATTGTATTTTCTTTTTTTTTTATATTTGTTACCTCAACTGCGTCAGTTATGTACTGACTTGGGATTTTCTGCTAGATACAAAATGGATTCAGTATTTTTTTTTTTTTAAATCAAATAACTTGTTTTGCCACAATTGAAGTAAATTATGTAAATTTTAGTTTATTAAATTGTCTCTTCGGAATAATCTCAATTGGTTCGCATTCAAAAATGTTTTTTTTTTTTGTAGAATATTCAGGGTTAATGTACAAAATGTATCTATAATGGCCGTTATGTGTTGAGCCAAAAATCACTGTCGATATCTCCTGGGAAACTTTCAGTTTCATCATTATTTGTACAGCGTTTTGGTGTATATATTACGATTTAAATTGTACTTAATATGTATTGAATGTAACCCTCAACGAATTTTAGATTTGTGATAACAGTGGCCTTGGTGTTCATACTAAACTCGGAACAGTTTCGTCCCACGCAGAAACATTGGGAAATCACTGCATTTTTTATTAATGGAAAAACTAAAAAAATGTGCTTATAAACATTTAAAAGACCGATAATGCACGGCGACGGTAGCGGCTTACCATCATGTGGACCGTTTGCTCGTTTGCTTCCCTAACAATAAAAAAAAAAAAACTAATGCGAGGTGCGAAGACAACACCATAGTTCACAAGAATGGCAATACGTTACACTATAGAAATCACATTTCTGTGGTTTCCACGGTATTGTTTATTTTTATATGCGACGGTTACCACTTTCCATCAGGTGGGCGGTTAACTTGTTTGCAATTCTAAGTTGTATAAAAAAAAATATAATGAGGTCTTAGATAAATTAACTCCACTTTAGAGGATTGAAGTGATTTCTCTTTATTCCTGTATTATAATTACCTTATTGCGTCACAACAGGCAACACTGAAGGCACCAAACATAGCTTTATTGGTGATAATGAAATGGCAACCCCGCCTGCTCTGTCAGTGTACGCTGGCGGGGTACCAGTGAGGAATGTTTAGCAAGGACGATACTAGGATCGCTCCCTTCTCCAGAAAAATATTTTTTTAGGTTTCTCCCCTCAGTTTGCAAAGAACTTCGACACCTTCCAGGTTTTCTCCCGTATTGGGCACTCGCTTCGAATGTACATATAGTAAAGTTAGAACGGTAGAAAGATTAGCACGGTCCCTGTGCCCGGATGCAAGGATGCATGCTAAATTGTGAAGCCTTCTACTCCCGTATTGGTCTCAATATTTGTTCCACTTGTTTCAACATATCCTATCCTTTCTTTATTCAGTAGGTGATAATGGAATGGTAACCCCGCCTGCGCTATCGGTGTAAGCTGGCGGGGCACCAGTGAGGGATGATAGATGGATATTGAAAAAGTAGGTCAATTAACCCATCGTGACGAATCCCACAAGAGTTAATCAAGATGGTTTCTAGGGGGACCCGCGTGGAGATCGACCTGATTAATATACCCTTTTGCTAGCAATGGGGTTGTTAGATTTTTTTGATGGGTGAAAATGGTATGGTAACCCCGCCTGCGCTAACGGGATACGCTGGCGGAGCACCAGTGAAGGGTGATAGATGAGAATGAAAACAGGCCAGTTAGCCCATCATGATGAATTCATCAGGAATTAACCATGATAGTTTCCAGGGGAACAGCGAGGAGGTGGACCTGGTTGGGTATATTGCTAGCAATGGGATTCTCAGTCTCCATTACTAACAATCCCTTTCCCCCATGTCATAGGGTTGTCAGCTTGTCTGCAATTTCAAATGGGCAAAAAGAAATTAGACTAAGATTCAACTGTGGTTCTAGAATTTTCCGTTTTTTTTTTAATGTAGGTAGCACTGTGGGAAGTAATTGGTGTAGTCCTCAGTTTTAAATGTTGTACGCTTTAAGTTATTTTTTTTATAAATCGTTATCCCTTTCAGACCTGAACGATACGGGCGTGAGTTGTAACTTTAAAAAATTCCAAAACCGCGCGCAATTCATTTTTACGCACGAAGCTGAAATAACGTGATAGCGAGATTCTAAACCGGCCAATAAGAAATCGTTTTAGCGGTTAGGTGGTGCAGTAGTCTCGTGCGTGCCGGCAAGATGGCTTGGCTCCAAAACACGAAAATATATTTCATCTGAAAGAAAAAAAATATTGGGTCTGAAAGGGATATGGTAAGGATTAATGAACTGGGTAGAAAAGACACTTTTTAAGGGTGTGTTTTATGTATATATTGCACCTATAACGAATACATTAAATATATGCCATCAAATACATAATATTTAAGAACATGATCGAAATTAATATAGATATCAATCTGGTATGGCGATACCGAAATTGGCGACGATTTTTTCCCGCCATCAATGCTCAGAAGAGCCCAATATATAAATATGGGAACGGCACCGATATAACCAATGGGCGATATCTGTACACCTTTCTCTTTAGACCCTGTTTTTTTTATGGGTGAAAATGGTATGGTAGCCCCGCCTGCGCTAACGGGATACGCTGGCGGAGCACCAGTAAAGGGTGATAGATGAGAATTAAAACAGGCCAGTTAGCCCATCATGATGAATTCATCAGGAACTAACCATGATAGTTTCCAGGCGGAATCGCGAGGAGGTGGACCTGGCTGGGTATATTGCTAGCAATGGGATTCTCAGTCTCTATTACTAACAATCCCTTCCCCCCCCCCCTTTAGACCCTGTATAATTAAGGAGGATAGTCAAATATTTAACAGGAAATTCGTAAGCGAGTGAGAAGCACGCTCTCACAGCAATGTCTGACTGGTAAGCTAAACTCACAGTAGGACCCGTGAGCCACGTGAGTATTATCGAATCAATGAAAGTGTTCTTTCTACCTGGTTATTTACTCTAATACAGTTAGAACCGAATTTATAAATATTAGAGATAACACGAATGTATGTAGAGTGTAGAGTAACACGAAACGCATTGATGTCTATTGTTGTAAGAAAGTGTAGTGATTCATAAAAGAATTAAACGAATTACGAGTTGTAAAAGATATTTGACAAAAAAGAGAAAAAAAAAAACAAAGGAATCTGATGAAAAGTTTTCTTTTAAATATGTTAAGTACATGTTCTTAAAATTTCCATATAAACCAATTTCCGAACGAAGCACTTTATTCATTTAAAAAAAAGAAATAGGTGCTCTGTAAATTATTATAATTACTTAATATTGAAAATTCTATTGACTTTTTAATTATGACAGATTATTATTTCTAAAAAAGGTGCTTAATTATTATAAAGTTATTATTTTTAAATTTATAAGTTAGTACCTACTTTGTTTAGAGTAAGAATTTGGAAATTTAAACATTTCTATAAAGTGTTTATTTAGGTTATGATTATATTTCCCGCCATTATTGTTAGGTCAATTGGAAAAATACAGATTAAAAATACTAGCCGTTATAATAAGAATTGAAATTGTTCATCGTAGGTATATTATATAGAAATGTCGTTTATATTTGTACACAAAAATAGTATATATTTTAATTAATTGTATAGGAATAAGTCGTAATGTTCATATATGCTTGAGCACGCAATCACGGAGTGTTGAATTTCAGAAAAGATTGTAAAATAAGGTGAAAAGGTCATCTATTCAAAAAAGAAAAAAAAAAAAAACAAGCGTAACATAGCTTTGTTAATCTTCATCTACTACTTAGCTGAATGCACCAGAAGAAATGTAATTTTGGTGATTGCCTTCACGAATATTACCTCAATAAGTATATTTAAAAAATTATATTTCATATTTCCCGTCCACAAATTATGCAATCTTTTCTGGGGGTTTTTGTGTCACTATTTTATGATATAGATATACAAGTGTGCTTTGTCAAATTTAAATCCACTAAACGATGTACCGAGCCGCCAGTTACCGCCATTTTGTTTGTCCATGGATTGCGCTTTTTTAATTTTCGAATGAGCAGATTATATTTACTATTGGAAAGTGGTTTAGGGTTTATATTGCATTTTCATAATTATATATAATTGTCATAATAATATAAATTCATAAATTTACTAACAAATTCCACTTGTACCCCCAAACGGAGAAATATTAATAGGGATTAAACTGGCCAAACAATTTAGTGAGATCATACGTTCAGTTTGTACATAAATATTCCTATTGGTAGTACAAATTGCCCTAAGAAATACAGATTCATAGACTTATTGTTGCCAATTTTTGGGCTAATCCTGGGTTGCTAGAATATAGAAACAAAAATGTTAATATTGAGACTAGTCAGCGATAAATACTTGGCCATACTTATGTATTATAAAGGGTTTTATATGTGCATTTTATTTCTTTTGATTACTTCGAAATTAGCCATTTTTTATATTAATTCAGCCATTATCTTTGTAGTTAAGGTGGCAACACATCGGGCGGCATCTTGAATTAAATATGGCGGTTCGGTGTTCTATGAGCTTTTACCATGTTAATGTTCATAATTATGTAGATATATTCAATGAAGTAAAATAAATATTGATTGTTGAAATTATGGTTTTTTTATTTCAATTTCTTATGAATTAAAATTACAATTTTATGTTTGTATTCATGAAAACAAACCATTCATGAATATATTTCAGCCATTGAAGTGTTTTGTATATTCAAAATTCTTAAATGGAGGTTTTTTCGAACTGTACTTTTGACGCAGATGGCTTTTACAGTTTAACCGGGCGCGTGTGTAGAAGCGACCACGAATAGTAGTCCAAGCCCGCAAAAGGAGAGCGACAGAGTATCGACGCTTACCGATGGATTGCAACTAAATTGAGAGAAACTGGCAACACTTTAATGGCTAAAATACATTTTTAGGTTTCAGTTTTTATGACGGGTAAGAAGTTTTTTAATGAGTGATAGTGGAATGGTAACCCCGCCTGTGCTGTTTACGCTGGCGAGTTACCAGTGAGAGATGATAGGTGAGGATGAGGCAGGTCAGTTAACCCATCGCGATTAATACAGCCGGAATTCAGCACGATGGTTCCCAGGACACAGAGTCGGACACCTATCGGGATGTATTGTTAGCAATAAGACTGGTACTCCGTGTAACTAACAATCCTTAAGTATATAGACGTACGTACGTATATGTACAAGTATATGTAAAGAAAGTACCTAGAACTGAATGGTTGAAAATAAGATGGTACATCTGTTTTAATTGGTATACAGGGTGTGACAGGTTGGCAAAAACTGAAACAGTGAATTCATTATTATGCAATCTGGACGAGTGGCGGTCATCCACCGTGCGTTTTTCAACTTTCTTCCACGCACAACCATTCTTTGGAATCAACTTCCAACAGCAGTATTTCTGAACCGATACGACAACATAACCTTCAAGAAAAGAGTATATTCCTTTTTAAAAGGCCGCCAGCACACCTGCAATGCCGCTGGTGTTGTGGGTGATCATGGGCGGCGGTAGTCACTTACCATCAGGTGAACCGTATGCTCGTTTGCCCCTTGCATTGTCCTACCGCGACTCCTAGAATCAGTTGTGTAAGGCCAACGCTACAAGAGTACGAAAACTACCTATGAAGAAGCGCCATTGACCGTCGCGTGGATCGTAAAACTTCAAATACATTGCGCGGCGTCAAAACTAAGAATCGTTAATTATATGGCTGTGGTTCATTTCAGATGGGAAAATAATATGCCATCTGATTTAGACTATTCAACTGAATTAGCTGTTTTCGTTTTGGCCAACCTGTCCCTTCCAGCCTGTATAATGCTGGGGCATAAGTAGAGGATGAAATCAGGTGAGTTCACTTATCGTGGCTTATTCAGTACATGGTAACAATAAAATTCTACAATACTCATATTGTGCCATTCAATATATTATATAAATTATAGCTCTAAAGCTGTGCTTTTGTAGACATGTGACAAAACCAAACTTCCCATAGACAATATCTATGACAGAAACATAACTGTTACATTGACTAGCTTCTAACAACTTCTGCTTTCACAGATTCTGCCAATATCATAAATTGTGCTTTCCCAATTCCTCATCGAAACTCGTCTGAGTTTCGGCCGAGTTGAAGCTCAGTAACACATCGGACTTAACCAAAGACCGTTCGGCAGTTTGGGTCTCGGTCGATGTCAGATTAATACTGGAAGGACTAGACGAGATGCTGTCGAACAACTTGAAAGTTTTCGGTGAATCATGACAATAGCATGTTTGCGTCTCTTTCATGTTCAAGTCCGCTGACTGAACCTCTGTAATGGTCTCCTTGTTCGATCTACTCAAACCAAACTCCAAGGGAAAAGTCTGAGTTTGTATATCTGACAATGACACAGTTTCAGAAAAGAACATTGATTCATCTTCGCTCGTTTGGGATTTCAATGACAGCAGATCTTCAAACACAGTCTGCGTTGATATCTCATCAGTTTTCGTTTCGTACATTTCACCTCGGCCTCCCAAAATCTGCCAAGACGGTAAAGCTACATCGTTTTTTATATTATCACTTAATGTTTGTGTTGCAAACGACCGTTTTGGACTATCGCACATAAACTCAGTTACTTTGTCATATTCGATCTTGAGTTTTTTCGCATCGGTTTCATCATCTAATTTCCGTTTATTGGCTTTGCGTTTATCTTTGTATTGTTTGTGTAATTCCGGATGCCTTCTCATTAAATGCACTAACAATTTCGCATTAGTATTATAATGCACATCACATAACTCACACGAGAATGTCGTGTTGCATGTATTTAAATGTCTATAAAACTCAGCGTCCGTTGAGAAACTGAGTTTACACGTGTGACAATATGTTTTTATTGTGTGCACTTTATTATAATGTTGATTTAGATATTTTCTACCTGAAAAATATTTGTTCTCTTCCGAATTAGATGCGTAAGAACACCCATCGACCGTACAGTAGTATTGCAAGTCAATAATTAAAGACTTCTTTACACTATGTATTTTTATTAAGTGGTAATACAGGGTGGACTTTTTTGTGAACATTTCTGGACACTCGTAAGGGCATGGTAGGTGTATCTTGTCTTCTGTATTTGGCGCTGTTATCATTATAATTAATTTATTATCGCACTGTATACACTTAACTGTATTTTCGTGCGTCGTATTTCCTTTTGGCTCTAATTGTTCTACTTTATTATTTTTCTGTAATAAAGCATTATTTTATTTATGAATATGTTATAAACAATGGCTTTAAAAAGTAGAAAGTTTGAGTAATACTTAATATTTAGAAACAAAATTTGAGTAATATTTTCAACCGACTTCAAAAAAGAATGAGTTTCCCAATATAGTTGTATTTTTTCTTTTTTTTATACCACTGAGGTGGCAAACAAGCATACGGCCCACCTGATGGAAAGTGGTTACCGTAGCCTATAAACACCTGCAATACCAGAGGCATTACGCATGCGTTGCCGACTCTGAAGAAACCTCTTTACCCCCCTTTTGAAAAATCCCATGCTGTAGACCTTGGGAAAACCTCGGCAGGGAGTTCATAACCTTGTGTGTTCGTGGGAGAAAACATCTCTGAAACCGCGCTGTACGCGACCATTGCTGTAGGATATGAGAACTAACTCCCTGTCGATGACGAGCCGTACGATGGTAGAAAGTGGCTGTGGGCACCATATTGAACAATTCCTCTGAGCACGATCCGTTGTACAAGCGGTAGAACACGCAGAGTGAGTTTCTATGTGAGTTACTTCACAGCTCTGTCATTTAACTATAAACCAATTTGGAAAATGGTTTTTTATCCTATCAGGATGTAGGAATTTTAGCAAAATTTAGAGAAATCTGCTCAGTAGTTTAGTTTTTAAATAAAAACAACTGGTTATGCCACAAGTGAAGTCATTCTTTTTGCCCAATACCAATATCACTAATAGGGGGGAAAGGGATTGTTAGTAATGTAGACTGAGAATTCCATTGCTAGCAATATACCCAACCAGGTCCACCTCCACGCGGTTCCCCCTGGAAACTATCATGGTTAATTCCTGATGAATTCATCATGATGGGCTAACTGGCCTGTTTTCATTCTCACCTATCACCCTTCACTGGTGCTCCGCCAGTGTATCCCGTTAGCGCAGGCAGGGTTACCATACCATTTTCACCCATCAAAAAAAAAAATCACTAATAAATTAATGACAGTTTTTATCAATTATCATGTTTAATGGTAAAGCAGTTTTAATGACAAATAATAAATATATATTTGTAATTAAAACTTCATTCATGTTCACTTCATAAATTTGACAGGTACATGGTATTATATGGAAAAATTTACATAATACAAAAAAAAAACAGGACAGAATTCCAATTCCAAATAAAGAGTTAATATTAAAATAAAAAGAAAAAAAAAGTAAGCAATACCTTTACTATGTTTTGTAAGAGTGTATTAGAATTTTGACACTGTTCCCTGAATCTTCTGCACGTTGATAAAACATTTTCACAGCTTGTGCACAGCAGCTCGGAGACGCCTTCCGGATCGCTCACCTACAACATAACAATATAGGAGAGGGGGGGGATTGTTAGTAATGCAAAATACTAGTCTCATAGTTAGCAATATGCTCAAAGAGGTCGACCTCCACATGGTCCCCCCTGGAACCCATTGTGGTTAATTCTAGTTGAATTCATCAGGATGGGCTAACTGACCTGTTTTCATCCTCATCTATCATCTCCCACTGGTGCCTTACCAGTGTATGCCGATTGTGTTGCAAGCATTCATAGGCTTCAGTGACCAGTTACAACCAACTGAGCTGTATGCTTGTTTATCACCTTCATGGTATAAAAAAATATTAAATTACAGTCTGATTCAATATCTAATATATAAAATTTTCATGTCACGGTGTTTGTTACCAAACTCCTCCGAAACGGATTTAAAGATTTTTATGAAATTTTGTGTGCATATTGGGTAGGTCTGAGAATCGGCCAACATCTATTTTTCATACCCCTCAATGATAAGGGTGACCCACCCTAAAATATATTTTTTTATTTTTTTGACAAATTTTTTTATTTTATTATAATTTAGCATTGAAAAATACATACAATTTTAAATTTTCACCGTTTTACGATCAACCCCTGTCTTTTGATCGCGATTTTTATATTTCACAATAAGTGGTAAAACAACGTTTACGGGGTCAGCTTAGTAAATTAATAAAAATGTAAAAATCCAATAACGGCCTGACCATAAGACAGTCTTCTGATGCCCTATATTATTACAAATCAAATGTTGATCAAATGATTGAATAACATCATCATATCAGCAGTTAACTGTCCACTACTGAACATAAGCCTCCCCCATAATCACAGTTCTGCCTGTAGTTGTCACGTCTAGCAGGCAGGTTGGCAAGTGGAGTTAGAATTTGGTGATGTTGTAAAAGAGACATTGCTGCCCATCCATCAACCACTAAGTTCCCTTAGTCGCCTCTTATGACACCCATGGTAAAGGAAGAAGTGGCCCATCCCATGCCGAGACCACACAGTGATTGATTGAATATTTTAGATTAAAACAGAATGTACTATTTTCCATTCAAAGAAGATTCCATTTAACAATAAACCCTTTGTTGTCTTCACCTCGATTCCTATAAAATTCATTTTAATTTTCTAGATATTTGTGTCTTTGGAGAAAAAAAAAAGAGACATTATTTGTTTAAACTTTAATGCACAGTGAAATTCTATGTACATATGGCAGACTTAACACCGGACGGTGTTCTCTACCAGTCAATATAAATAGTAATTATTCATTATTTTTTTTATTTCAGGAAGACCCATGAGATGGACACCTTTTTTTATTTAAATAAATGCTAATTTCGTACTAACTTATGATTCATCTCTTTATTTACAGGATAAAAATCTATACAAATGACATGCAAGAGCTTATGGGAGATAGAGGATTGCTAGTAATGGAAATGTCAATTCCTAGCAATATAGGGTCTATTCAAGTAATATAGCAATATAGGGTCAAGTCAGTCTCCACGCAGTTATTTCTGGAAACCATGATGTGCCTACTGCTTGACCCTCACCTATCATCCTTCATTGGTGCCTCCCCAACGAATACAGATAGCGCGGGCGGGGCTACCATTCCATTATCATTCATTAAAAAAATTGTTGCTTACGTAGTTACTTTAAACTCAACAAATGGTAGCAAAAGAAGTTAATTAAACCACGTCAATTAACTGCGAAGATAATTGAAATTAACCTGTATATTTGTGAATTTATAGAAATCTTCAGCTAATCCCCATTGTACCATGTTTTTCATTTCTCCAGAATTAGCCAGACATCCACGGCACAATAACGCAAAATCGTCTAGTGGTTTATCCAATTCTACGTATGGTGCACCCATCGCTATTTCACTTCACCTTTTCTGTTAATTTATTATAATTTTAATATAACAAAAATTGACTTACTATAGATGTTTTAAATTTCTAAATTTATAAAAATTTGAATTCCAATCACAGATTATAAATTGACACTGACGTTATTGACATTGATAGTGCGTTCATGAAATATATAATAAATAGGTGATACGTAAGTAATGTAATTCCTTGTTCTTAGGTAAAAAAATGCTCCTTATGTATAAACGGACCAAAAAAAAAAAAATTTACGTGTGTGTTTTGATACCAACACACGTACGTAGCTTTAATACGTATTTACAGGTACAATTCATGTACAATACACCTACAAATTATTACTGTTTGAAATTTTTTCTCTTTATTTAGTACAAAAATTATAACTTAAATTTATTATAATAAAATATTAATTTTAATATCATAAATAAATCGTAAATTATTTTCTTTTTTTTTTGCTTTTTTTAATAGTTAGTGTTTAATCTTTATTTTTTTAGTTATTTGATATTGGATAAAGGTGCAAAATCATATACATTATTATTAATAAAAATAAATATAAAAATTTACTATTTATTTTAACTGTCATAAATAAATATTAAAAAATAATAACTTTTAGTAAGTTTTTAAGCCACTAAATAATTGAAACAAAAAACAAAACTGTCATTTTGACATAAATTTTGGCTTCACTAAATTTACAAGAGTATGATTTTCGATTAAAAGGTAATAAAAGAATTTATTTCCTAACATTTCATACAAAAATAAATAATAAACACCGGTATTTTGATCACCGCGAAGTTGTAGACATCGAGCTTGCGTTTCGTTATCGCGCTAATTTCCGATTGGTCGCCATTTGCGCCACGATTGCTGGCCAAGAAACTTGTTCAAAGAAGAGGTTACTTGTTTTAATTTAATTGATAATTGTGCCTAAAAATATAGAAAAACAGTGTCAAAAACTCCGAAACATCTACCTATTTAATAGAAGCACGAAAAGTGCGTTATATAAGTGAGTACATTACTTATTCAATGCTTTACCTCTGAATTCATGATACACGTGTTAAAACTGTTTAGGAATTTTATCGGAAATAATTAGTTTTGTGCGAGTTTATCGTATAATTTTGTCTCCAATTGGTGGCCAGTAATATTGACGATAAATCCAAACTCTGTCATAGCATCGAAAGTCGGTCAGTAAATATTATTTTTAATTCTAGGCAATCTATTTTGGGATCTATGGACGTTGCACTACGATAAAACGTAGATTTATTTACAATCGTTTGAATTTAGAATATTGTCTGCAGCCAATGTACTATGTGCATTGTAATCAAAAAATCATCAGCGGTGTCTATGCAATTCACAAATATTTTATGCAATAGGTGAATAACATTGATTATAATTGTTTATAGAAGTTATATTATTTTAGAAATTATGTTTAATTGTTTTTTTTTTTCAATTTTGACATGACATGTGCGTTTTATATCATATATTGGTAATAGACTAACAATATTTTTTTAAATTGTTTATAGGCATAGGTAAATCACTTATAATTCTCTGAAGTTACACATATTAAGTAAAATTTCTCATAAATTCTTATTCAGGTCATTGTAATCTAAGTCGAATCAGCATTTACTTAGATAACACTTAATGTGTACTTAATGTTTTTGCTATATATGCATGTTTCTTTTTAGGATCATGAACCATTTGGTAGGAAGGCTTATCATTACTTTGTCTATCGGTTCATGTCTGTGACAGTGCTTTATCTAAGCAACTACAAACAATATTTACTTGAAATTTAGAATAGTTTTAGAAAATGGCCCACACATATTTTACTAGGGGTTCCTTATAATGTAAAATTTCAAAACGACCCTACCAGTACAAGTGTCAAATAAAGGGCTTTATTTCTACATTTAAAATTTTTATTTTAATAATGCTATTTTAAAATTATTTTTATGCAATATAGTTTTGAGTTATCACTGAAAATGTAATTTTTTAAATCCTCTGAAAGTTATAAAACAAAAAATCTGAAATATTCATACTTTATAAGCACTAATGTGTATATTACAGGAAAAATAAAAATGATTGTTTTGTCACAGTTTTTATTAGAGAAATTGTGAAAATTTATTTCATATTTTAACTCAATTTATTACATAACTAACTTTTGTTTAAGGACATTTAGTCCTTAAACAAAAGTTAGTTATGTAAACTAGTTTTAAACACAGATATAGTCCAAAATAAGAAATTTCTCATTGCAGTATCAATAATATTATTAATATTAGATGTATATTTCCTATAAGAAACAAATTTTGATTTACAATGCCATTTTTTTTTATATAAATACAGTGAATGCTAATGACAGGCGTGACAGATATGTATGTATGTATATAGTGAATGCTCTATATAAGCAACTTCTGTATAAGCAATATTCTTTATATTTTATTTATTCTACTCAGCTTAGTTAGTAAAAGAAATAAGTGAAAATATTTTCCAGATATGGTAAAGTATTTTATACTCCTTTTTTCCCCTATAAGCAACTTATCCCAATAACTTTTTTTTTAAATTGGTTCAAATTACTTGCTTATATAGAGCCTTCACTGTAACATTATTGACTGACTAAAACTATAGTTAGAAAGGCGGTCTTAATGCTAGTAGCATTTTCTACCAGTCAACCTTTGGGGTGAACAGTGAATCACAAACATAGTACTTTTTTTTTTAATATTAAGGGCTTTTACCTTCTTCAGGTATATCAGCCTTATCATACCTTGAATTGGGGGTCTACCATGATATGAAATTCCGAATTTTTAGAGTCAAATTTGTGTTTTAGTTCATACCCAAATCTGCCCAGTAAATGTTGCTTAACATTTTGCTTGTCATAAATCCTACCATAACAATTCAAAGAAAAATATTATTATATTTTAACATTTTTAATGTTTTTAAACTGTATTATGTAATTTAAACATCGAATTTTTACTTTGTTCAGGCTCAAAATTATGGAAAACATGGTAGGCCCTCTGATTTCTCAAATAAAGTTTTATCTAATTTCCTTAGACACAGAAAGAGGGGGGAAAGGGATTGTTAGTAATGGAGACTGAGAATCCTATTGCTAGCAATATGCCCAACCAGGTCGACCTCCTCGCGGTTCCCCCTGGAAACTATCATTGTTAATTCCCGATGAATTCATCATGATGGGCTAACTGGCCTTTTTTCATTCTCATCTATCACCCTTCACTGGTGCTCCGCCAGTGTATTCCGTTAGCGCAGGCCAAGTTAGTTGTTACCATACCATTTTCACCCATCAAATAAAAAAAGGGAGGTATTAATAGGCATCAATAATTTACAGAGATATTTAGAAATTTCTGATTTGGCTTCAGCTAATATAGACTGAAGAAGGTCAATCATCACCTTCCTTCTTTCAATTTAAATGGCTGCCATTAATTTTAATTGGAGATTCTGCCAACATATCTTTCTGCCCTTATCCCAATTAATATTTGGGGTCTGCATATTTTTTTTTATACAACTTAGAATGGCAGACAAGCCGACGGCCCACCTGATGGAAAGTGGTAACCGTCGCCTATAGTCACGAGCAGTACTATGGACAAAACAGAGTATACTGTTTCGCCCCTGATACTCCCCATTAGTTGCCATTCCTGAGGACTCATTATGTTAAAGCAATAATAAGAAATCACTTTGTTACAGCCTCCGAGAAGAATAGCAATGAAGATAGAAGAAAAACCCAAAAACAACTTTGCTACACTTATGAACACTGTGCCTCAAGTGATATATACACACACATTTAAGCACATTTAAGTAAATACCTCGATTATAGTCCGAGAGACGAACAATAGTCCGGACGACGTACTAAACTCATCTCGGTTATAGTCCAAGAGACGGAACAGTATTTTTTTTTTAATATCTAAGTTTTTCATATAATTTGTAAGTGTATGGAGTAGGTATTAATCGGTCATCGTCATACAATTGAGTGTTTAATAATGAAAATTCCGGATTCGACATCTAACGTTGGTGCTTACTATGGCAACGATGAGAATGGACAGTGGCAGGTGAGATATATTTTTTTATTTATTTACTTTGTACAAAAGTCAATTGCTTGATTAACTCTGTCCCATTAGTGTTTCAACCGTGAAGCAGTTGTGTTTGCATGGCTGTGTTTCGGTTTGAAGGGTGGGATATGGCGTGAATTTACTGGGTACAGTGAGTCCTCATGAATGGCAACGCAATATAAATATTGTCCCATAAAAAAAACCACAGCCAATTTTGATAAATTTGTATTGGACCAATTTATCAAAATACATCAAAATAAAAGTAAATTAAAATTAAATGTACCCGTAACCGGCGAGCGTGTATGACAAGATTGATGAATGTGGAAGAAGCGAAAGAGGTTTGTTTGAATCGAAGCATTTGGCGTTCCATTGTTTCTGCCTACCCTAATGGGAGACAGGCGTGACAGATATGTATGTATGTATGTATGTACATCAAAATAATTATTTAAATTTTGCTTGGGACCAATTTGTGCTTATTATGTTTTGAGATAAAAAAACAATTTTCCAAAATGGTTTTAGAATTGACTGAAATATGAGATACCAAAAAACCTTTTTGAAGTCTGTTAAAAAGAACTACTTTTTTACGTTTGTGTTGGTAGAATCCGTTCATGAGTATGACGGATGAATAAGCAGCCCATCATGATGAGAGAGCTATCGTAAAGTTTGTAACGTTGCAGCCAAACGGCGTGATGATAGAGAGCGGCGTTGGCGGAGGCGTGGTGGGCGGCGGCGACGCGGGCCCGCTGCGGCCGCCGCTGTACCCCGTACACCTGCCGCGCGGACACATACCTGGTAAGCTGCTGTGCCTTACTGATGGGCCCATCATACTTTGGGTGATAATGGAATGGTAACCCCACCCGCGCCATCGGTATACACCGGCGGGGCACCAGTGAAGGATGATAGGTGAGGATGAAGCTGGTCAGTTAGTCCACCGTGACGAATTCAACAAGAGTTGTTCACGATTGTCTCCAGGGGTAACCGCATGAAGGTCGACTTGATGGGGTATATCGATAGCATTAAGGCCTAATCTCCCTATTACTGACAATCCCTTTCCCCCCAACCATGGTGGTTTCCAGGGGAACCGCGCGGCGGTCGATCTAGTAGACCTGCGATGGGGGAAAGGGATTGTTATTAATGGAATCTAACAGCTCTATTAGCAGCTATTGCGAGGGGAAAGAGATTGCTAGCAATACACCCTAACAGGTCGATCTCCACGCGGTTCCCCTTGGAAACCAGAGTGACTAATTTATCGTTGAAATCGTCACGGTAGACTAACTGACCTGCCTTTTCATCCTCACCTATCATCCCTCACTGGTGCCCCGCCAGCGCACACTGTTAGTGCTTTCGGGACTACAATTTCATTATTATTATTATTTTTATTATAGCTTTTTCTCCACTTCAGTGGTCCCCAAGGGTGAAAGCCTCCTCCATCTTTTTCCACTTCTCCTTATCTGTAGCAAAATATTTGTCCAGTTTTTTCCTGCTGTCTTTATTATGTCATCTGCCCATCTCTTTCTTTGCCTTCCAACATTTCTTTTTGCTGCTGTACCTCGCCATTTTGTTGTTTGGAGAGGACAATTTCATTATCACCTATTAAAAAACCATACAGATGGCTCACCTGATGGTTTGTCACCATCAGTATAAAATAAATAAATAATCTTTATTTATTATCTACAAGGAATATTTTACATTGCATGATTATTTAGGATTTTAACTTAAAATTGTTGTCCTTGTGAGAGTCTGGAGTCTGAACTAGGTCGTAACCTGTACTACAGATCTGCAGGCTCTCTCCGGAGTTTTACAATATATTGCTGCACAGCTACATTGCTATATCAATGCAAGTATTGCGAGGTAAATATGGATATTTCCCTGTTACATTTAATGGATATATTTGTGACATCACTCCGTCAGGGTACGTGATGGCGGGCGCGTACTACCCCCCCGCGCCGTACGCCCCCGTGCCGCCGCCGCAGGACGATTTCGCTGATTACATGTGGATGGAGAACGAGGAGGAATTTGATAAACAGGTATGGTATCACACCGTGTATGTATCAGCTGTAAATTGTCCACTGCCGGATATAGGCCTCTCCCATAAAGAGGGGGGGGGGGGGGGGGTTGCCAGTAGTTGCCACGCTTGGCACGCGGGTTGGCAAACGCAGTTTGGTCGGCGGTCCACCTGATGGTAAGCGGTTACCGTAGCCTATAAACGCCTGGAATACCAGGGGCATTACGCGCTCCTTGCCCACCCTGAAGTAAACTCAACAAAAGGGGGTACCCCTTTTGTTCCTTTCAACCTGAAAAGAAAAAGAATAAACTAATGCTGTAGTCTCTTGGAATAACCTCGACAGGGAGCTCATTACATAACCTTCCTTTACCAGAGGGAGACTTTGTACCAAAGTCGATTGCTTGAGTACCTCTGTCCCATTCGTGTTTCAACCGTGAAGCAGCTGTGTTTGCATGGCTGTTTCGGTTTGAAGTGTGGGATATGGCGTGAATTTACTGGGTACAGAGGAATAACACCTGAATCCTCAGAAATGGCAACGCATGGGGGGTATCATGGGCGAAACAGTATACTCTGTTATGTCTATGGTACTGCTCATGTCTATAGACGACGGTTACCACTTTCCATCAGGTGGACCGTCAGCTTGTTTGCCATTCTCAGTTGTATAAAAAAAAACCTGAGCGTTCGTGTAGGAAACACCTCTGAAACCGCGCTGTACGCAACCGATTATAGGCTCTATAAGATGTTGGGGTGAATTTCCTGTCGATGGTTTGCTGTTCGATGGTAGAAAGTGTCTGCCATGAAAGCACAGCTGTTTCCAACACGAATGGCATAGAGGTGCCCAAGCAGAATATGTTCTAGTCATTTCAACCAGAGTATGGATTCCAGGTCTTTTTTTTTCTATGGGTGATAATGGAATGGCAACCCCACCCGTACTAACGGTATACACCAGCGGGGCACAAGTGAAGGACGATAGGTGAGGATGAAGCAGGTCAGTTAGCCCAACGTGACGAATTCAACAAGAATTGTTCACGATCGTTTCCAGGGGGAACCACGTGCAGTTCGACCTAATAGGGCATATTGCTAGCAATAGGGCTGTCAGACTCCATTGATAATAATCCCTTTCCCTCCTGATTTCAGGTCATGCAGCAGTTGGAAGAGGAGGCCCTTATGGAACAGTGCATAGAAGCGATGCTGGAGGATGAGCAGAGAGAGAGGCACAGGCCGGTCGCCAACGGACACAACCATCACTACCCCACGTCAGTATATACAGTTTGGTCGTGCCAACGTTGAATCAACGACTATCAAAACGTTTATTACATCTAGATAGGAAAGACCTCAAAATAATGATAGGGACAGTAACGGGCCATTGTCCATTAAACAAACATTTTTACATAATAGGAACCACAGACAGCCCTCTATGTCGAAATCCTGTATGTAGAAGTCCTCGGAACGGTGAGGTCGCTCTGTGAGGCCTGTGAAGGACCCAGGAAGTTTCTGCGCTTCTGGGCGGAGCTAGGTTGGCTGTACTAGCCACGACTCATACGCACAACGGCCCAAATGAGAGGCTAAGCGCGGAAAATAGAGTCCTATTTACTTTACACATTACAGTATATACATTTTGAAGACTTTGGACACCAGAGGGAGACTTTGTACAAAAGTCGATTGCTTGGGTACCTCTGTCCCATTCGTGTTTCAACCGTGAAGCAGTTGTGTTTGCATGGTTGTGTTTCAGTTTGAAGGGTGGGATATGGCGTGAATTTACAGGGTACAGAGGAATAACACCTGAGTCCTCAGGAATGGCAACGCATGGGGGGAACAGTATATTCTGTTATGTGCATGGTACTACTCATGTCTATAGGCGACGGTTACTACTTTCCATCAGGTGAGCCGTTAGCTTGTTTGCCATTCTAAGTTGTATAAAAAAAAGATTAAGATAAGTTCGTTTTTTAGGGTTCCGTACCTTCAATGGAAAAAACGGAACCCTAATAGCATCATTTCGTTATCCATCCGTATGTCTGTTAAGACCTTTTTTCTTAGGAATGCGTAGAGGTATCCAGTTGCAATTAACATCTGCAATCTCTTAAAGCAGTGAAACAATCGAGCTTCTAAATCGACGCATTTAGAAGATGAGGCCGTTTATGTTCCATTTATATCGCATATTTTGACATTTGCAAAGGGAATGCCCAATGTTCGTACTGCACGGGAATCGAACTCGCGACCTTTGGCAAGTGACTCGGTATGTCAGAACGTTAAACCACGAAAATCTTCAAAAAGGATATTTATTTGTTATTAGTTTTAGTCTTTTTTTTTTTATACAACTTAGAATGGCAAAAAAGCTGACGATCCACCAGATGGACAGTGGTAACAGTCGCCTATAGACATGAGCAGTACCGTGGACATAACAGAGTATACTATTTTGCCCATAATAACCCTCCATGCGTTGCCATTCCTGAAGACTCAGATATTATTCCTCTGTACCCTGTAAATTCATGCAATATCCCACCCTTCAAACCGGGGGGGAAAGGGATTGTTAGCAATGGAGTTTGAAAGCCCCATTGCTAGCAAGTATATTTGTTATTTATATATATTTATTCATTTATATATGTAATTTTAGTATGTATGTATATCAATAATTACTAGTACCGCATTCGAGTATTCTGACACTTCCCTATGGTTGACTGGGAGAGAATGCTTTTAGCATTGAGTCCGCCATGTACACATATATGTACTAATGAATAAATAAATAAATTGTTTTTCCAGAACAAGCAACGGTAACCCGTCCCTGTCGCTAGAGGAGACGGTGTCCAGGTCGACCCTCAACCCCCTCGCCGCCGAATTCGTGCCCACCTCCACGAGGGCGCGGCCCACGCCCACTGTTACACCCAGCACCACAACCAATACAGGTAACTTACATGCGGGGAAAGGCAGGGAAATGGAATGTTAGTAATTAATTCTTAAAACCCCATTGCTGGTCATGTCAGGTCGTCCTCCACGCGTTTCCTCCTGGAAAAATTTTTTTCGTTTTCAATAGATGACAATGGAATGGTAACTTCGCCAGCGCTAACGGTATACGCTGGCAGGGACCAGTGAGAGATGATAGGTGAGCATGAAAAGGCAGGTTAGTTAGCCCATCATGATGAATACACCTGGAATTCAGCACAATGGTTTCCAGGTGGGTCCATGTGGAGGTCGACCTGACGGTATATTGCTAGCAACTGGACTGGTAGTCCGCATTACTAACAATCCCTTTCCCCCTGGAAATCATGTCTTTGATTAATGTCGAATATTCCAGCATACAATGAGCCACTCCTTTCTTTCCCGTAGTGAAACTGTAGGGTTGATTATTAGACATAATGTACACTTTGGCATAATGCTACATATTCTATGGTAGTATTTCCTTTGTCATTAGCAAAATCATGTCATATGTAAAAGGAGTCTGTGAAAAAAATGATTTTAATACGTTTTTATTTTATATACAACTTAAAATGCCAAACAAGGTACAGAGGTGCCCAAGCAAACGACTTTTGTACAAAGTCTCCCTCTGGTAAGCAACCTTTGGTTAAAGGAGACCATATTGAATTTCCTGAAAGGAACAAAGAAATATTTTTATTCGAGTCAACTTAGATTTAAGCAGTGTTTATTTTAACGTCAACTATTTACTACTAACGGCCCGTCCTGGCGTCGCACGGGTAGACATTTTTAAATTTTAAAAAGTGGCCATTAAGGCTGCTCACGCGACGGAAGCTTTAAAACTACGGAATAACTTCTCCCGTTTTCCCAACATTTCCCTTCACTGCTCTGCTCTTATTGATCGTAGCGTGATGAAAAGTATACTTAAAAGTATACTAGTAATACTATAACATGCCCAGGAGTATGAAGAATAATTGTACCAAGTTTCGTTAAAATCCGTCGAGTAGTTTTTGTTTCTATAACGAACTTACAGACAGACAGACAGACAAAAATTTTACTGATTGCATTTTGGGCATCAGTATTGATCACTAATCACCCGCTGATAGTTATTTTGCAAATATATTTCATGTACAGAATTGACCTCTCTACAGATTTATTATAAGTACAGATAGTTTATAACTGGGCATTATTCTAAATAATTTCTTAACTCTTTCCAGAAAACAAATCGGATAAAACAGAATCGACAGAAGCGAGTTCACAAGACACGCCAGCCACAGAGGTATCCACAGATCAAGTAGACAGCAGCAAAGATACAGAACAGAGTAGAGAAGATTTTAAAACAGAAGGTAGGCGTTTAATTCGTAGATAGATACTCTTTATTGTTTCCTCCATAAGATTACAATCTATCTATCTATCCTATTTAAGAGCTGCGCTCTTGTCGTTGGATCTCTTGCCACTCACTACGATTGTCAGCGAGTCTCTTCGCCTCTTGATACGACACGACACCAACTGCTTCCTTGATCTGCCTGATGTAACTATGCCTCGTTCTCTCTCTCCCCCTCCTTCCTTCTACCTTACCTTCTATTATAATGTTCATAAGTTCGTCGTGTCGTATCAAGTGTCCCAACGTTTTTCCTTCTTCTGACCTCAATAGTTCTAATAACTTTTCTCTTTTCCTTAACCCTAAGCAGTACCTTGTCATTGCTAATTCGATCTTTCCAGCTAATTATCTCTTTCCTTCTCCAATACCACATTTCAAATTACAATAGTAAACTTAATATAAATACAAACAATTACAAAAAAATATACGACTAAGGGAACTTAAGAGGGATGGGCAGCAGCGTCCCTCTTAAAACATCACCAAAGCCCAACTGCGGTTGCCAACCCACCTGCAAAGCATGACAATTACTGGCAAATCCCTCCAATAGAGGGAGGCCTATGTTCAGCAGTGGACAGTAAACGGTTTTGTGTTGTGTTTTGTAATAAATGTTTTTTAATAAATGCATTTTACAGTTTCAGAATCAACACCGCCTACAGAAACACCGGAAGTTAGCGCAGCAGACATACAGACGGACAAGCGGAAAGATAAAAAAGACTCAAAGAAAGTGGATCCCAAGAAAACGGTTAAACAGGAAGTGAAAAAGGCTAAGCCGGTCGTAGTGAAGTCGGAGACCAAAGTGCAGCCCAAAAAGAAGGAAGTGAAAGTTGTCAAGAGTGAAACGAAAGTGGAAGAGAAGACCCCAAAAGTTGAAGAGCCTGCACCAGAAGTAGTTCAGGTTAGTTTGTAAATTGTTTATTTTCATGCTATGTTGTGTATGGGGTAGGAAGAAAGCTTTTTACCAGCAGGAGACTTTGTACAAAAGTTGTTTGCTTGGGCACCTCTGTACCATTCGTATTTCTACCGTGAAGCAGTTGTGTTTGCATGGCTGTGTTTCGGTTTGAAGGGTGGGATATGGCAGTGAATTTACAGCGTATGTCCAGCAGGGGATTGATAATGGCTGTAATGATTATGATGGTGTTGTTGATACTAGTTGAATTTTTTTTTACACAACTTAGAATGGCAAACAAGTTGACGGCCCACCTGATGGAAAGTGGTAACCGTCGCCTATAGACATGAGCAGCACCATAGACATAACAGAGTGTACTGTTTCGCCCACGATACCCCCCATGCGTTGCCATTCCTGAGGACTCGGGTGTTATTCCTCTGTACCCTGTAAATTCATGCCAAAGGGTGGGACCCTTCAAACCGAAACACAGCCATGCAAACACAACTGCTTCACGGTTGAAACACGAATGGGACAGAGGTACCCAAGCAAATGACTTTTGCACAAAGTCTCCCTCTGGTAATTTTTATTGAAAATTTTCTTTTACTTTGATTTTAAAGGAAACCACTTTACAGCCACAGCTACCGTCGACACCGACGCCTGTAGATGAGCCAGCAACAACCACGCCCGGCATCAAGCCAATCAACTACGCGGCGGCGGCGAAGGCGAACAAACCAAAAAAACCTACCACGCCCCCGGCCACGGACAAGACAACACCACCCCCGGTGAAAACAGAAAAGAAACCGGAACCGAAAGCCGAAATTAAGAAATCGAAAACCGATAAACCGGTCGCGAAGACGGAAAAGCCAGCGGTGCAAAGGAAGAACTCGGCCAAGTAAGGGTTGTCTTTCGGTATTTCAGTATGAAATCTAAGTGATGTAGTGTAAATGTACAAAATTATCGTTGTACTAGCGTTGCTAGTGATGTGTTTTTTTTTTTATCGATAAACGTGAATTATTTGGTTGTCGAATCGGTAACTAAGTTTTATATTATATAGTAACTTAGCGGTTTGACATTTGAAGTTGTTTGAAGTCTTACATTTCATCTCCTGTAATTATTAATTCGGATTTTACATATATATATATATATATATATGTTAAATTTAGATATAGAAAATGCAACTGTCTTATAAATAGTATGTATTTAGATAGATTTTGGTATATATATATATATATATACATACATATATATATATATATATATATATATATATATATATATATATATATATATATATATACATACATATATACATATATATATATATATATATATATATATATATATATATATATATATATATATATATATATATAAATGTGGGAATAAATCGAATAATTGTAGTGAAGAATTCGTAGTTCTCTGATAAAGGTTGGACGAATACAAAACTTAAAAAAAAAAATACACCTTTGTAAAGTAGGTTAAATTTACGTTATGTAATGAAAATTGTCACGATAGGTCAACATTACATTAATAAATAAAGAGTTTCAAATAATATATAAGTTTGCCAAAAAATATAGATTAATTCCGGTATTGAATAAATTTATTCAAGTGAAACTGCATGTAAAAACAGGTATCAAATGTGAAAAATTATAAAATCTATTTCAGTTTAAGTCGGACAATTATCAACCTTGATTTGTAGGCGTTATGGTCTATAATTGTATATCCCTAACAACGAATTTGGCTAAATTGAAATGTAATGGCACATATATATATATAATAACAGTCCACCGCTGAACATAAACCTTCCCCATAAGGGGAGTTTTGACAGTAGTTGCCACGTTTGGCAGGCGGGTTACAACTGCAGTTAGGCTTTTATAGATCTTTTAAGACGGCCGCTATAATGTGTTAATTTAACACATCATATATATATATAGAGAAGAAGAGAGAGGTAAGTAGATTTCTCTTAAAACATCTCTAAAAGCGTAACTGCAGTTGCCAGGGGGGAAAGGGATTGTTAGCAATGGAGTTTGACAGCCCCATTGCTAGCAATATGCCTTATTAGGTCGACCCCCACGTGGTTCCCCCTGAAAACCATCGTGAACAATTCTTGTTGAATTCGTCACGGTGGGCTAACTGACCTGCTTTATCCTCACCTATCATCCTGTACTGGTGCCCCGCCGGTGTATACCGATAGCGAGGGTGGGGTTACGATTCCATTATCATGCATTAAAAAAAAAACTGCAGTTGCCAACTCGTCTGTCAAGGTCATGGGGAAGGTTTATGTGTATCTATTTTTTTTTTTAATTAATTAGCATGCATGAATACATTAAAAAAAAAAAAACTGGATTTTTAGTACCACTTAAACCTCTTGGGCTTATGTGATACTTTCCATTTGGTTCTCAAATGTCAATATTTACATGAATATTCTGCTGTTTCAGCAAGGTTGGACAGTATTTATTTATTTAACTCTTTATTGCACCATAAATAAAAACATACAATGACAAGTGAATAATTCAAGTGAAATACAGTAACATAAATACAGATTGAAATATACACATAAAGGTACAAAAGGCGGTCTTATCGCTAGGGCGATCTCTTACAGACAACCTTTGGTTAAAGGAGAACAGATAGAAGTGGGCAGGTGGCGTGAGAGGGAATTAATAATTTTCGTAAATAAGCTTTCAGATTAAACTTTATGTATCTAACAGTGATATTGTTTCGCAAGTCGATAGGTAGAGAATTTACTAATCGCGGTATAAGGTGAAAACAGGCCAGTTAGCCCATCATGATGAATTCATCAGGAATTAACTATGATAGTTTCCAGGGGGACAGCGAGGAGATCGACCTGGTTGGGTATATTGTTAGCAACGGGATTCTCAGTCTCCATTACTAACAATCCCTTTCCCCCCAGGGTAGGCCAGTTAACCCATTGTGATGATCACGGCCAAGACGGCCCGTATGGAGGTCGACTTTACGTCTTACTTTAGTCCCATTGCTAGCATTATAGCTGTTTTGTGTTTCGTTCGCTCGCCATAGTAATTTTTTGCTCGAGTAGTGACTAGCTTGTTTTGCGCGGCGGAGTTGTATGAATTTCCCGTTTAAAAAATTGTACTTTAAAGACTATAAATCGGGCAACACTTATCTATCCATGTACAAGGTATTTTTTTTTTGATGGGTGAAAATGGTATGGTAACCCCGCCTGCGCTAACGGGATACGCTAGCGGAGCACCAGTGAAGGGTGATAGATGAGAATGAAAACAGGCCAGTTAGCCCGTCATGATGAATTCATCAGGAATTAACCATGACAGTTTCCAGGGGGAACAGCGAGGAGGTCGACCTGGTTGGGTATATTGCTAGCAATGGGGTTTTTAGCCTCCATTACTAACAATCCCTTTCCCCTCCTGTACAAGGTACTATTGAAATACATTCACCCGTATTAGCGTGAATTTAATAAACATACATTCAAATGTCTTTACAAACTCACATGCATGGTATCATTAGGAAGTTGTGTGGATTTATCGTGACAATGTTATATGAATTAAATTAAAAAAAAAATGTTGTTCAAGAGGACCTCCTTGCTAATTTACTCACTAGAGGGAGACTCTGTACAAAAGGCTTCATTCATGGGTACCATAGTTCTATTCATGTTTTTGACTTGCAGCCACTATGCTTGCATTGCTCGGTTTGAAGGGTGGGATATGGCAGTGAAATTACATGGTACAGAAGAATAACACTATAGTCTTCAAGAATGGCAACGCATGAGGTGTATGGGCGTTACAGTGTAACAAGAGGCTGCTTGTGTGTATAGCCGACGGTTGTGACTTACCATCAGGCGGGCCGTCAGCTTGCTTGATGTGTAATGTAATAATCGCGCGTCTATACGTGTTATCTTTAATTTACTTAAAAAGGAACGCATTCGTATTTGACAATTAGCGTGGCGATGGTTCGATTCCCGATTTTTGCCAATACCCGAACCTTTCAAGGTTTGGATGTCTTGGGTTGTGTCCAAACTGGGGACACAACCGCTTCCTAGTTTCCTAACTTGAGGAGCAGAAGCTATTTTGGTGTGCTTTTATGGCACTCATAATCGTTATGATCTCGGCCATTATCTGTCCACTGCCGGACATAGTCTTCCCCTATAGACTGCTATAAGGAATGGCCCCCAAGCCATTTGCATCCACTGACTCCCTGCAATTGGAGAATGTCATTTTTTTTCATTTTTACACTCGAAATATTGTTGGCTTCAAAATCTATAGGGTTCCGTGTGCGTTTTGGCTGTTGTGCCTGTCGATCATCTTTTATTTTTTACAACACAAGGGGCGAAAGACATGCCCAAACCATTCGTTGCATTATTTTCTTTACAGGATATAATAGCTTGCAAAATATTAAAGCTAGGAAGTTGTTTTTGGTATTAGCAAGAGGTCCTCTTAAATAATTAATCGGCCTTGTACAAAAGTGCACTGTTTGAGGGCGATTCTGAGGCACCGTTTCTAATCTTGTCTCTGGTTGTGACGTTTTGTCAGTTTCGCTACTTTATGGACTGCTTTATGAAACATTCATGATTTAGACGTTAACTATCCGCTGCTGATCATAAGCCTTCCCCTTATACTAGTAGTTGCCACGCTTGGCAGGTGGGTTGGCAACTGCAGATAGGTTTTTAGAGATGTTTTAATCTGACGCCTTCTGCCCATCTCTCGCTCTCCCTTAGTCACCTCTTACGACACCCACGGGAAAGGAAACGGTGGCCTATTCTATGCCGGAACCACACGGCCCAGCATATTCATAATTAGCTTACTCTGTACCCAGTAAATTCACTGCCATATCCCACCCTTCAAAGCGAAACAGCCATGCAAACAACTGCTTCACGGTAGAAACACGAATAGGACAGAGGTGTCCAAGCAAACGACTTTTGTACAAAGTCTCCCTCTGGTATTTGTGAGTTGGTTTTTATGACCAAGAGCGTTAGTTTTATTAGTCCTTGGCTTATTTTGCTGTCGCATTGGATTTAAAATTTAATAATATACATGGGACAGATAAAGGAAACACTAGGTGTCATGTCGTATAGGGAGGTCAAAGATATGGCCTGGGATAGAGCTGGCTGGAAGAGGATGCATGAATTAGTTGCACCGACAAAAGGAAATTTTTAAATGAAAAGAAGATATAATTGGTATGAATAGGAGATACAGACAGGAGAATGGTGCTTCAGAGTCGACGCCATTCTATCGGTAATTATCGGTTTTTGGGGAGGCCCATTCAAAATGCGGTCTCCCGTGACGGTATCGAAACCGGTTTTTAAATTATACCGGTATATAAAACCGGTTATGTTACACGGTTTACAAGTCATGTTTGACGAAAAACTATTTTTTTTTTTTTTATTATTGTTTCGACGAAAGTTTACTATATTTTTTTGTGTTGGATACATTTATGATTGTATGTACAGGTGTTTAAAAATATACCAAGTGGGGGGTGGAGGGGGGATAGTTTTAGGAATTGTCGATTTAGACATAGCATAGGTTATTGAATGTTAATGAAATTAATTTATAGGTTTTATTTATTAAATAAAAATTATATTATTTAGAAGAAAAAAAAACTTAAATTTTGATGGTATATATATGGGACCAACTTGAAAATAAGGTCTTTATATATTACAAAAAAAAAATCGGTTTTTTTTTTGTGAATATACTATTTTTGAAGTTGATTAAATGTATGTTTATTTATGAATCTTCACGCCATGTTCCTCGCGGGATGAACAGAAAGTACCTATCTCCGAATGTCTCTTAATTTGTGGCATTTTTTTTTTTATATTTTAATAACATATACTATGTGTATATATAAAGATTTAAGAGAATTCTTCGATTTCGCGTTAAGTCAAATTTGTAAATGGATTATCAATAATATTTGGACTTCTTTATCGATAACAAATCTATCGATAGACTCGTTATCGCCAGCCAGTCCGTGAGATAGAGATGGATAGATAGCCCTTTCTCACTCGAGCGCTGATCATAACGATTCTATCGAGATTTGTTTTAATTTACCATTTTACCCGCCCGCGCTATAGATATACGCTGGTGGAGCACCAGTGGAGGATGACAGACGAGGATGAAGGCAGGTCAGTTGGTCCGTAGAGACGAATTCACAGGAACTGACCACGATGGTTTCTTCTGCGATTGTGTTGAAATTATGAATATATTGCTAGCAATGGGGCTGTCGGCCCCAGTTATTAACAATCTCCCCTCCTCCCATGAGCTTATGGTTGTTCTTGGTATTATCCCCATGTTTTCGCTGTCAGCTTTTTCGACACAAACTATTTTATGTTTAATGAATATGGGCTATATGGGATTGTCTGACATATGCATATTTTTTTGGTATATTTTTAGACACCGTATACAGTAGAATCTCGATTATCCGAAACAATTAAAACCAGGATTAAAATCCGGATTATCCGGATTTTCGATTATATAATCGAAACCAGTTTCAAAGTCAAATCAAACGATACATAATTAAATTTTAGGATATTTTTTTTTTTATTATGTAAAGGGTTGTTTTTTTTTTATACCACTGAGGTGGCAAACGCGTACGGCCCATTTGATGGTAAATGGTTACCGTAGCCGATGAATACCTGCAATACCAGAGGTATTACGCGTTCGTTGCCGACCCCGAAGAAACCTCTTTACCCCCCTTTTTGAAGTTGTACATACGTCTTTTAAGCAAATTGATATATATAAAAAAAAAATACGGGCTATAAATATAATGGTTTACGTAATACCATTTCTAAATAGGCAACTAGAGCCGTGAAGTATAAGTCCGGATAACGGAATATCCGGATAATCGAATATCCGGATAATCGAGATTCTACTGTATTACATTTATATTTACCGTTTTATATTAGTGATTGTACATTGATATACAAAAACTCCAAGATGCACGATTCCCTCGAACAAGTACAGTTCGAGATCTGTATATATTTTTTCGTGAATAAAGAATGCATGCAGACGTATTGTTTACATCCAATGTACATTGAGAAATTATATTAAAACCTACTTTGGTTTTTGGTTTTATTGTATTTGAAATAAAATCCGAGTTTGGATGTTTTTTTTTTTCGTGTTTATATTTTGTTTGTTAGGAGATCATTATCATCACCATATCAGCCGTAAACCGTCTATTGGGGTGTTTTGCTAGTAGTTGCCACGCTTAGCAAGCGTGTTGGCAACCGCGGTTAGGCTTTGGTGATGTTTAAAGAGTAACACTGGTCTTTCAACAGTTAAATTTCCTTAGTCGTCTCTTTCGACACCTATGGGAAAGTAAAGGGTTGCCCGTTATTTGCGGAGACCATAAGGCAATTAGGAGACAGTTATGGTTGACGTCAATTGACTGGATACAAATCTGATAGTATTTTGGGCTGTTCTTTACCCGGTTCTTTATAACGCAGGGTTTTTGAGGACCAGGCCATAGGAATGATTTTTGGCACTTTGAAAAGAAAATGAGTGCTTATTTTATTTATTTATTTATTTATTTATTTATTTCAAAAGTACTCACCACACTTACAGTCTCCCAATACGTGTAGTGAGCCACAGGTTTATTTTACAAACTTACAAATTTTGTACAACATTTTAAAAATACATCTAGTCTGTCATTAAATATATCAATATCTGGGCTGCTGAGCAATCAGAGAATTGAGCAGAGAAATAGCCTGTAAAGTGGGAGCGAACTGAGCAGTGCAGGTGCGAACCGGCGGTGCCGATAGTCGACAAGCGCGCAGTCGCACGCAGCGCGTGCATCTTGGCCTTTTTGTATATCGATGGAAATATATGTACTATTTATATTAAAATGCTAGGCTATATCAGTTTTAATGTTTGATTTGTCTCTTTTTTTTTTTTCTTGTATAGTTGTTTAAAGCATAGTTATTATGTGATACTTCCGATAAATTTGCATTTTTTGTAACATCTATAATTATTATTATAAAGAGGAGAAAAAATAAAAAAAAAAAAAATGTGTACAAAAATTTATTAAGTCTTATATGTGAATATTTAAAGGTAATTTTTATCAATAAAATATAAATAAATAGTTATAATTATTATAGTGATGTATGTAATTTGTTTTTTTTTTTTTTATATATTTAACTAAATTGGTAAACGATCTTTTAGCGTTAATATCTTTTTATTGGATTTTACTAATTAAACAATCAAATATAGTCGAAAGTACATACGTGTCAGTCGCCAGAGGGAGACTTTGCAGCTGTCTGTATGGGGACCTCTGTCCCACTCGTAGTTCAGCCGGGAGGCAGCTATGCTCGCATGGCTGTGTATCGGTTCGAGGGATGGGATTGTTTTCCTATTTGGGAGCTGCGCTCTTGTCGGTAGAGCTCTCGCCAGTCACTACGATTGTCAGCGAGTCTCTTCGCCTCTTGATACGACACGACACCAACTGCTTCCTTGATCTGCCTGATGTAACTATGCCTTGGCCTCCCCCTTCCCCCCCTCCTCCTATCTTACCTTCCATTACAATGTTCATAAGTTCGTCGTGTCGTATCAATAATGATGGCAGTGAATTTACAGGGTACAGAGGCGTAACACCATAGTCCTCAGGAGTGGCAGCGCGTGAGGGGTACCGTGGGTATCAAAGTGTACGCTGTTGTGTACAAACGACGGTGACCACTTACCCATCGGGCGGGCCGTCAGCTTGTTTGCCATTCTGAGTAGCGCGAAAAAATACATCTTTTAACGAATCTGTCAATTTTTAACACTGTTAGCTCGATAAGAAGACATGCCAAGATCACTTTACTAATTTTGTTGAGAATAAAAAAAAAAAAATTATAGAGTAATTAATATTTTGTGTTTTTTTTTTTTCGACTGGGTATAGACTATGTTCGCGCGTCTCTGCATTGTCCGTCGTTGTATATGTAAATTTTGTAAGTCACAAATGTTATTATGTTTCGTTTAATATCTATGTGTGTGTACATTTTGTTTGTAAAATTTTATTGTCTAGTTTTGTTTATGGGAGGAGGAGCGCGGCGCGTAGTATAAGAATGTATATCGAATACGTCTGTATTTATTAAAAAAAAAAAAAAAAAATTGGCCAGTTACAATAGATAGAGAACTAAACGAATAAATCTGGCTGTATGCGTGTTGGTCGTTGCCACGTAATATGGTGTGAAAAAAGTTGCGTGCAACGCTCCTCTTCCGTGAACAAGGTGAAAACTTGTCGGTGACATTGGATATATTATTGCATAATTAGCATATAATAATAAACTATTATTATTATTAGCAATAAATAATAATGGTGAGGTACCCACGTCGGAGAGCATGTAGCACAACCCTAACGCTGACGATTAATATTTAAAAATGGAATTCTTTTTTTAAATTAACAGTATTTTAGTAAAATAGCTGGCCGGTTTGAAATTTATATAAAAGAATTTTAGTTTTAAATATTGTCTGTCAGACAGGGTATTATTATGTTAACACGAGTCCATTATAATCGTATGATTATATTAATATGTAGAAATAAAATTAAAAAAAAAAAAACTTGTACATTTATGAAAGTATATAAAAAATGTATATGATTAAAAAAAAAAATTGCACGCAAGCGTTTTAAAATGGGTATTTTCATTAAATATAGTTTTAATGTTATTTTTTTTTTGTTTTTCTCTTTTGTTTCTCTTTTTTTTTTTTATTATGAAACCGTTTCCCGTTGCTTTAGGAGTCCTGTGTGTTTAAGTTTTTTTTTTTTATTTACGAGATTAGAATAGTATCCCCGATTGCACTATCGGTATAAGCTGGTGGAGTACCAGTGATAGATGATAGATGAGGATGAAAACAGGTCAGTTTTTTGCCATAACAGAGTATTTTAACAGTATAATCTGTTATGTCCATGGTACTGCTCATGTCTATAGGCGACGGTTACCACTTTCCATCAGGTGGGCCGCCAGCTTGTTTGCCATTCTAAGTTGTATAAAAAAAAGGTCAATTGGGTCATCGTGAAGAATTCCACAAGAATTAACCACCTCGATTTCTAGGAGGAACGGCGTAGAGGTTTTTTTTTGATGGGTGATAATGGTATGGTAACCCCGCCTGCGCTAACGGGATACGCTGGCGGGGCACCAGTGAAGGGTGATAGATGAGAATGAAAACAGGCCAGTTAGCCCATCATGATGAATTCATCAGGTAGATATTACATCAGGCCCTCTGGTGATGGCTTAACAACGAGCATATTAAAACTTAAGATCAGATTAGAAAAATAAAAAAAGTACAGTAGTTATTTTGTGAAACAAATAACTGACAATAGCCACTTAGCAAAGTTAGACCAGAGGGAGACTTTGTACAAAAGTCGATTGCTTGAGTCCCTCTGTCCCATTCGTGTTTCAACCGTGAAGCAGTTGTGTTTGCAAGACTGTGTTTCGGTTTGAAGGGTGGGATATGGCGTGAATTTACTGGGTACAGAGGAATAACACCTGAGTCCTCAGGAATGGCAACGCATGGGGAGTATCATGGACGAAACAGTATACTCTTATGTCCATGGTACTGCTCATGTCTATAGTCGACGGTTACCACTTTCCATCAGGTGGGCCGTCAGCTTGTTTGCCATTCTATGTTGTATTAAACAAAACAAAACATGTATGATCTTTTGTATAGTCTTCTTCTGGTTATTTATTGTAGTTTGATTTTTTTTAATAATTTTACATTTAAACAGTTTTTTTTGTTCCTTCAACAGCAGTCTACGTAATATGTAATTGAATTGGTATGAAACTCAAACGAATAACGTCTTAAAGTCAAGATAAATTTATTAATTCCATATCCCAATCAGCCTCCAGAACTTTCCTGAAATCGGTTAAGAAATATTAAGAACTCTTAATATCTATGTCGTGGAAATATAATAATAGCTGGCAACACTATATCGCCATCTTTTATAACTATAATAATTTTTGACAGTTATTAAATAATATAATTTTGTTACTATATCATGAATAAAATTGGGCCTTTTTAATTATATTTCTTTATTATAAATATACCAAAACCAGGATTGTTGAAAATAGTATCAAAAATTAAAAAAAAAAAGTATCTCTATGAACGCAATATTATTATTGATTTTTGCTCTGCGCATACTTCCTAACTTCGTTGTCATCCTATTCGTTCAAGATTCGCGATACCTACCGCTCGTTCGCTCTGCTTTAATAGAAAAGCTATAAAAAAAAAATCAAAATTATAAAAAAAAAAATATACCGTGCCAAATACCGCAAAATAGGGCACACAGTTTTTTCCAATAAATTACCTCATTAAAGATGTTCGCTAATCCGTAATAACGTATTCCGTGGATTCTTTTACGTAAAATAAAGAAAAAAAAATTGAAGATTATTATTTTTTTTTAATAGAAAGGGGTAGGCAAAGGAATTAAAACGGAGTCTTTTAAAGGGTTAAGATCAGATAAACAAATGTATACGGCGGTAGCCGTATGTTCTGCTAAAAGGAACGCCGAGAAACTAAAATCGACGGAGGCGGAGGACCACTTTAAGAATCAAAGCATACCAGCACCCCCAGACATTTCAGGATGTCTCTGCCCAGGGAGTTTATTTTTAATCAGGTAAGTAAGAAATAACCATAAATGTCTTATCTGCTTATGTTCTATCACCTTTCTTTTCCTGTAAGAGCGACAGAGTAAAAATAGGATGTGTCACCTATGTCGTAAGAATACACAAGTATTACATAGAAGGCAAAATAATAAAAAATCCTAATGTATGTTTTTTTTTTAATACAATTTGAAAATATCGAACAAGTTGATGGCCCACCTGATGGAAAATGGTAACAATTAAATGAACAGCACCATGGACCTCATAGAATACTTTATTAGTCATGACATATATGGTGTTGTTTCCGTACCCTATAACTTCAGTATCATATCCCACCTTCCATATATCCGCAAAAGAAACAACGTAACTGACATAGCCCGAAGGGTAAGCAAGCTGAAATGTGCTTGTCACATAGCTCGAAGAACCGATAACCGATGGGGAAGAATGGTTATTGAGTGGCGACCCCGTACAGGCAAACGCAGTGTAGGACGACCCCCCACTAGATGGGGTGACGACCTGAAATGCATTGCAGGGAGTCAGTGGACGCAGGTGGCTCAGGATCGTTCTTTATGGCAATCCAAGGAGTAGGCTTATGTCCAAGAGAGGACGAATGGCTGAAAGAACGATTATGATCCCACCTTCAAGCCGAAACACAGCTGTTTCATGGCAGAACCGCCAGTGGGTCAGAGGTACCCATGCAAACAACTTTAGTATAAATTCTCCCTTTGCTTTATTTGATAAAATTCACAAGATTAGTAATGGGATCACAGGCTTCGACAGTGTTGCCAGCTACGATTTTTATTTTTATCCAATTGTCAAATATTTGTTCTCTAAATAGACATGATTTTCAATACTGTCCCAAACATTAACGTTTATCATTTTTTTTATACAACTTAGAATGGCAAACAAGCTGACCGCCCACCTGATGGAAAGTGGTAACCGTCGCCCATAGACATGAGCGGTACCATGGACATAACAGAGTATACTGTTTCGCCCATGATACCACCCATTCGTTGCCATTCATGAGGACTCGGGTGTTATTCCTCTGTACCCTGTAAATTCACGCCATATCCCACCCTTCAAACCGAAACACAGCCATGCAAACAACTGCTTCACGGTAGAAACACGAATGGGATAGAGGTACTCAAGCAATCGACTTTTGTACAAAGTCTCCCTCTGGTAGACATTCTTCAATTTTGCTATATACATACCACAAAGTGAACGACGATCAAAGACTGTCCCATGCTCTGTTTTGCTATCTCCATTCATATATTTTATCAATACAGATATACCTCTGTATACTTACTTTACAAATACCAGAGGGAGACTTTGTACAAAAGTCGTTTGCTTAGCCATCTCTGTCCCATTCGTGTTTCAACCGTGAAGCAGTTGTGTTTGCATGGCTGTGTTTCGGTTTGAAGGGTGGGATATGGCGTGAATTTACTGGGTACAGAGGAATAACACCTGAGTCCTCAGAAATGGCAACGCATGGGGGGTATCATGGGCGAAACAGTATACTCTGTTATGTCCACGGTACTGCTCATGTCTATAGGCGACGATTACCACTTTCCATCAGGTGCACCGTCAGCTTGTTTGCCATTCTAAGTTGTATAAAAAAAAAAAGAATAAAGAAAAAAAAATTGAGTAATCTCCAATCTGTTAGTGTTTTAGCAAATGCTTTAACATTATAAAACTTCTTTACTTAACAATATTCGTAATGCATATAACTGCAACTTGCCAATGCAAACTATTGTAAACCAATCCCAATTATAACCTAATTCCTCTTTCTTGAATGCAGTATAAAATTGTCATTAGCGATAGATACATAGATAATTTATTTGCATTACTTACAGCACACAAATTACAATATAAACATACATATAACACAAACATACACAGTAAAAGAGATAAAAGAATGAAAAACAAAACAAAAAATATAAAAACAACAATTTCTTTTTTTTTTATGCGTGTGCCGTAGCACAGATAATATAATACTATGCCATAGTAACACAAAATGGTCACACAAATGTTAGATTCGATTGACATGGATATTGGATTCAAGAGTAGACCTGCTGGTGTATGTTTTTTTTTAAGTAGTCTATTTAATTAGTTTTTTTCTATATTCGAAATCTACGCGTGCGAAGTAGTGGGCGTAAATGTAGTTACACGTACAGTGGAAAATCGATAGAGAAGCCTCTAGTCTAGACAGTTCTAGACGTTTCCTAGTTGTCACATCGTCCAATCGACTGATACAAAAGGTCATTTTTATTATCATATTAATCGTTAATTGTTCATTGCTAAATATATACTTATAAGGAAGGTTTTGCATGTAGTCGCCACGCTTGGCAGGCGGGTTGGCAAACGTAGGTTTTGGTGATGTTTTAAGGACGCTGCTGCCCGTCCCTAGTTCTCTTTTAGTCGCCTCTTACGACACCCACGGGAAAGGATGCGGTGACCTATCCTATGACGGGACCTACACAGCTAGAGAGTGATTTTTGGTAATTAAAAAAAATTGGTTAGCTATCATTAAATACTGTTACATACTGTTTCGTCCATGATACCCCCCATGCGTTGCCATTCCTGAGTACTCAGGTATTATTCCTCTGTACCCAGTAAATTCACGCTATATCCCCCCCTTCAAACCGAAACACAACTGTTTCACGGTTGAAACACGAATGGGACAGAGGTACCCAAGCAATACTTTGTACAAAAGTCGATTGCTTGGGCACCTCTGTCCCATTCGTGTTTCAACCGTGAAGCAGTTGTGTTTGCATGACTGTGTTTCGGTTTGAAGGGTGGGATATGGCGTGAATTTACAGGGTACAGAGGAATAACACCTGAGTCCTCAGGAATGGCAACCCATGGGGGGTATCATGGGTGAAACAGTATAGTCTGCTATGTCCATGGTACTGCTCATGTCTATAGGCGACGGTTACCACTTTCCATCAGGTGGGCCGTCAGCTTGTTTGTCATTCTAAGTTGCATAAAAAAAAAAAAAAAAAAAAAAAAAAATCGGCTTTTGTACAAAGTCTCCCAAATCTCTATTATTGTCAGTCGTGTTCTTGGCAATTTATTTATTTTAATTTCCATATAACTGACTGATAACGTAACTTTTAGAATATTTATTATTTATTAAAACTTAATTCCTTAAAATTGTTTTATTCCATTTTATATATGTATAACTATGTTAGAGTGAATGCTGTGAATATCTATAATAGGCGTGTGCATTAATATTGTATTCTTTTTAATAAATTTGATAAACCTAAATATTTATTTACAAATAACAAGAAAAAGTAATTAAAATTTTTAAAAATTATTTAAAGATAAAAAATTTCTGTGAGATCACTGCCAGCTGGTAGGGTACGTAGGAGACTTGCTGCATTTCCACGCTGAATAGCAATGGAAGTGCGTTGACCAAAGTATTATATTTATTGTTTGTTACACCTATATGTTATAATGCAATATGCTGTTGGTGTTCCTTTAAATAAATAAATAAATACTAATTTGTACAAATAACAAAATAATTAATTCACTCTCGCGCCACCTGCCCTTTTCTATATGTTCTCCTTTAACCAAAGCTTGTCTGTAAGAGATCGCCCTAGCGATAAGACCGCCTTTTGTACCTTTATGTGTATATTTTAATCTGTACTTTATACTACTGTAATTTACTTGAATTGCTCAATTGTCATTGTATATTTTTATGTTTCTGATGCAATAAAGAGTTAAATAAATAAATAAAGTACAAATTTAAAATATTAATTTTATTTATATATGTATATGTATGTATATATATTTATAAGTGTATGTGTATGTAGATATATGTATATGTTTGGTTGTATGTGTTTATTTATGTATATATATGACTACGCTGTCACAGATATTATTTTTTACAAATCTATCTTTTTTAACGCGCCACCTACCTACTTATGCTTTAATCCTTTCTACCCAAAGGTTGTCTGGAAGAGATTGCTTAGCAATAAGACCGCCTTTTGTACTTCACTATACGTATTGAAAATTGTTTTAACAAAACATGTTATGTTGGTGCAATAAAGTGTTAAATAAATAAAAAAAAAAAAAAAATTACCTTTCCATCTATTTACCCGTGAAAAGCCGGGGCGGGTCGTTAGTTAAAGTGTTCCGGGTGAATTATTAGCTTGTGGTTCTGTTTTTTTGTTGTCCGAGGTCATTGTGCCGGCTGTTGGCAGACACCGATATAACCGGATCAATACCGGCTCCGCAGACGAGCATTCTTGCAGTCTGTATAGCACGGAAGTAAAGACAAACTTGTTTTTTTTTTTATTTTTTTAAATTGATAGAATAGAACAGAAATTTTTTATTTTTTATTTTTAATAGACTGTTTTTTTTTTTAATTTATAGATTAGAACAGAAATAACAGTATTCGTCACTATGGGCTAACGGACCTGCTTTTTCATTCTCACCTATCATCCCTCACTGGTGCCCCGATAGTATATACTGTTAGCATAGGCGGGGCAATACTATTCCATTATCATCCATTAAAAAAAGGTTGCTTGCAGCTCTAGGGGTGTCACGTGAGCGTTGGCGACTCTGATATTTTTGAACATCCTTCGTACACATAAAAAATGAATGAGGAATTAAAAAAAACACGCTAACCCATCATTAACCTTAGGTCTTACTGCGTCATAACTAATAATAAATGTAATACATTCTGATCTTAAATACCAACAGTGTAAAGTTTAAATTTGTTTGCGGATCTATATAAATGTCATTCAATCAATATTTTTTTTTTTAATTTTAATTGTGTAATTGTCATATATGTTATTATGGCTGTGTATCGTGACGAATTCGACAGGAATTAATCACGATAATTTTCAGGGGTGACCGCGTGGAGGTCGACCTGACAGGGTATATTGCTGGCAACGGAGCCCCCGAAACTTACCAACAATCTTTTTTCATTAAGTATGTTGTTACGACTATTTTTTTTTTTAGTTTTTGATGCTTGGGAATGCATGCGTACAGGTATTATGTACCTAGA